AGGCCACCTACAAACCTGGAGACACCATCAGGGTCGACTGCAACACCTGGTGGGTCGTGGGTCCCTCGGGGGCAGCGGGCAGGGAGGGCAGCGGGCGGGGAGGGAAGGGGGCAGGGAGGGCAGTGGGTGGGGAGGTCAGGGGGCCAGCTGGCCAGGGCAAGATGGGGTCGTAACAGGAGACAGAGTTGCTGGGAAAGCCATGGGCCGTCCTGTGCGTCCTCTGGAAGGTGGCCTAGGGCCAGTGGTGCTACCAGGAGCCTGGTGAGGCTGCGTGCCCTGCATTCACAGTGGGGAACGCCACCCCTTCCACCGAGGACGGGTCAGACTGGGCCTGGGGAGGCTGAGGCCGTGTGCTGACCTGCACAGGCCTGGGTGCCGGGTCTCAGGAAGGCCAGGAGGGCAGGCCCCTGTGAGCAGGCACCGTCCCTTGCCCCTCGCAGCACCTGCAGGAACCGGAGGTGGGAGTGCAGCCACCGGCTCTGCCTAGGCACCTGCGTGGCCTATGGGGATGGCCACTTCATCACCTTTGATGGCGAGCGTTACAGCTTTGAAGGCAGTTGCGAGTACATCCTGGCCCAGGTACGCCGCCCCCTCGCCCGCTCCTGCAGGCTGGGCACGCTCCGGCCCGCGGCCAGCAGCTTGTCTCTTCCTGGCCCAGGACTACTGTGGGGACGACGCCACCCATGGGACCTTCCGCATCGTCACGGAGAACATCCCCTGTGGGACCACCGGCACCACCTGCTCCAAGGCCATCAAGCTCTTCGTGGAGGTGAGAGCGGCCCCGGCTGTGAGCCCCCTGACCCTGCAGCCAGCGAGCCGGCCCCCAGGGAAGCTTCGTGAGGCTTCAGCTGCACCTACAGGTTCTCAGCAGTGTCCTGGCCCCGGGATGCTGTTCCAAACAGTCACAAACCAGGGGGCTTAGACAACAGAAATGCATTCTCAGTCCTGGAGCCGGAAGTCGGAGATCCAGGCGGGTAGGACCACACTCCCTGCTGAGGGTCTGAGGAGGTCCTTCCTGCCTCTCCCAGCTTCATGGGCTGCAGGCGTCCCTGGGCTGCGGCTGCCTGTGGCCTCCCACTGTGTCTGCGTCTGTCTTCTCTTTTTGTTTTTGTTTTTCTCTTCTGTCTCTTGTAAGGACACTGGTCCTTGGATTTAGGGCCCCCCAGGTAGTCCAGGACGACCTCATTTCAAGATGCTTCACTCAATCTCATCTGCAGAGACTCTTTCTCCCAATGAGGCCCCAGGCCGAGGTTCTGGGACTTCGTATGTGGACAGACATTTTCAGGAGCCACCATTCACCCTGCCACACCCAGAGACACCCACCCCAGCAAAGGGGGGCCAGAGCTCCCAGGGAGAAAGAGCCACTGGCCGGGACACTCCCTGCACATGGCGAGAGGGGCTGAGGACCACAGCGGATCGGGGAGGCTGGCGTGGGGGTGTGGGGGCTGCATGCAGGGCTGGATAGGGAGCAGGGTGGGGTGGAGCCGGCCCACTGCGGCCTCTGCTGCTCCCGTGCGGCCCCAGCGTTCCCAGGCAGCCCCTGTTCCCAGCACTTCCTGGCCAGCCTCTTGCCAAACCTCCGCTGAGGGTCTCGTGGACCCAGCTCATTCCTAATGCCAGCCCCTTGTGCCAAGAGCCTGTGCGTACCTGCAGGGCCCTGTACTGGGTGGGGCATCCCCGGGTCTCAGGCCCCTCCCCGGGGGCCACAGGGTCAGCTTCCGGCCGCGTCTGCCTCCCCTGCAGAGCTACGAGCTGATCCTCCAGGAGGGCGCCTTTAAGGCAGTGGCGAGGGGGCCGGGCGGGGACCCGCCCTACAAGATCCGCTACATGGGGATCTTCCTGGTCATCGAGACCCGCGGGATGGCCGTGTCCTGGGACCGGAAGACCAGCGTGTTCATCCGACTGCACCAGGACTACAAGGTGAGCTCGGGCTGTGCACTCCTCGGCCCTGCAGGACCCTCTCACAGCAAGAGAAACCCCAGTGCCCGGTGGGGCCTGTGGGACTCACTGACCTGTGGGTACATGCGCCTGGCTGGTGAGGGCCCTGCCTGTGGCCTCCACAATGGGCAGAGGGTTTTACAGGGGAGCAGGTGCCACCCAGCAGCCCACCCACGGACCCACTGCACACCTGTCCCCTGCAAGTTCACCGGGCACTGCCTGGGGAACTGGCTGCCCTCCCTCCATCCCCCAAGGGCTCTGGACCCCAGGGCAGGCTCTGTGCTGCCTCCCACGGGTGCCTGTGGCCCCAGCTCCAGGGCCCCACTTTCTTGCTGCCTCTGCAGGGCAGGGTCTGCGGCCTGTGCGGGAACTTCGACGACCATGCCATCAATGACTTTGCCACGCGTAGCCGGTCCGTGGTGGGGGACGCGCTGGAGTTTGGGAACAGTTGGAAGCTCTCCCCGTCCTGCCCAGACGCCCTGGCGCCCAAGGACCCCTGCACGGCCAACCCCTTCCGCAAGTCCTGGGCCCAGAAGCAGTGCAGCATCCTCCATGGTCCCACCTTCGCCGCCTGCCGCTCCCAGGTGGGGCTCTGGTCTTGGCAGGCAGGGTCTGGTGGGGACGGCAGCTGCTTCCTTCCTGCCGAGAACTGGGTCTTCTGGGCACACAGCAGGGCTCCAAGGAGGGTCTGACCATGTCCCACGGCACAGGGTCCTGGATGTCAGGCCCCAAGTCTGAATCTCCCATCAGCCCCGCACCTGTGCCTCCTGCCCCTGGCACGAAGCCATCTCGGCTGTTTCCCAGCCACTTCCTTGACCACAGCCTCAGCCGCACCCAGAGGCTCACAGGGAGGGGTAGCCCTCGATGTGGCCCCAGCCACCCTCCTCTGGGATCCCTAGACCTGCCCAATCCTCAGCACAAACTGGAACGCCAGCCTGGCTCCCCGCCCAGCCCGGGAGGAATCACAGATCAGCCTTAAGCAGAGACTTCCAAAAAGCAGTTTCCTGACTGGGCGCGGCGGCTCACGCCTGTAATCCCAGCACTTTGAGAGGCTGAGGCAGGTGGATCACCTGAGGTCAGGGGTTCGAGACCAGCCTGGCCAACATGGTGAAACCCTGTCTCTACTAAAAATACAAAAATTAGCCGGGTGTGGTGGTGGGTGCCTATAATCCCAGCTACTCGGGAGGCTGAGGCAGGAGAATCACTTGAACCCGGGAGGAGGAGGTTGTGGTGAGCCGAGATCGCGCCAGTGCACTCCAGCCTGGGCAAAAAGAGTGAGACTCTGTTTCAAAACAAAACACCAAAAAACCAAAAATCAGTTTCCTGTCATCTTAAGGAAGACTTGAGTGCCCACTTAGGCACACAGCATGGTGGTCAGGAGCTGAGGTGAGGGGCTGGCATAGGGGCAGCAGTGGGCACACTCGCTCGTGGGAGGCCCTGAAGATTCTCACGTTGGCCGCCGCTTGCCCTCTTGAGAAGGCAGCTGGTGTCCCCCTGGAAGGTCCTGTGGCCTGACAAAGCTGAGCCAGGTTCAGATGGGCCTGGAAGGGGTGTGGGCCGCCTCGAGGAAGCAGGCAGCTCCCAATGGTCAGGACAGGTTCACAGCTCAGCTCCCTACGTGGCTGGTCTGGAAAGGAAGTGACCGCTCCTTCCTTAGTGCACATTCACTGGGTGCCTGGAAGAGCCTGGCATGTTCTGGGCTCACCCCAGTGACCCCTCATCACCCCAGGGGACAAGGCCGACCCTCACAGAGCTTCCAGAGGAGACAGCAGCATGGTGGGCGCTGGGTGGTTGGATGCTCAGACTTGGAGGGCCCTGGGCGGGGATCACCACGGGGTTGGGTCAGCTGGAGGGAAGGCCCCCAGGTGGAAAGGAGGCCAGTACAACTGTAGCAGAGGGAGGTGGGGGTGAGGGCAGAGGGTGAGCAGGGATGCTATCCTCCACGTGGGTTTGAAACCTGTGGGCCACATGACCAGATCCACGTGATAGAAAGATCCAAAGAGCACATGTGAAGGCAGGCAGATGGACAGGTGCACAGGTGGGCATATGGGCAGGTGCACAGGTGGGCAGGTGGGCAGGTGGACAGATGGGCAGGTGCACAGGTGGGCATATGGGCAGGTGCATAGGTGGGCAGGTGTACAGTTGGGCAGGTGGGCAGGGATATAGCTGGAAAAGGGCACAGGTGGGCTGGAGAAGTGGTGCTGGGGCAGCTCCTATTTGGGGCATGCTCTGAGGTATTCCAGGACCCAGGAGTCAGGGAGCTCAGAGAGCTGCCATGGGGGGTGTTGAAATACAAATGGTTCCAGCAACTGGCCCTGGGCCAGCCGCCCCCTGGCCGGGGGGGACCTTGGCCCAGCTGAGCTGCACCTTGGCCTCACCCCCAGGTTGACTCCACCAAGTACTACGAGGCCTGCGTGAACGACGCATGTGCCTGTGACTCGGGTGGTGACTGCGAGTGTTTCTGCACGGCTGTGGCTGCCTACGCCCAGGCTTGCCACGACGCAGGCCTGTGTGTGTCCTGGCGGACTCCAGACACCTGCCGTGAGTCGGGCTCTGTCCGTGGTGCTGAAGGGTGGAGCAGCCGGGGCAGGGGAGGAGGTGTGGCAGCCTCTGTAGGTGCATTGACCTGGGCCTGAGCCGCACACAGACATCCAACACGCATGTGCCTCCATGTGAGTGCACACGTTCCTATGCACAGAGACAGACCTGTGCAAAACCACCAGACAGGTCACCCCAGCACGAGACGGCTCCTGGGGGACAGGAGTTCCAAGGGCAGGGCTGGGGAGTGAGGGGAAGGTGAGGCACCAACTGGCCCAAGACCCTGCATGTCAGGGACAAGCCTGGGTCTGGCCCTGGGGACACCGGCCCCCACACCCGGGGTGGGGGCTGCCCTTCACAACAAGGGTGAGGGCCGGTGGGCGCCTCCTTAGCCTCCGCCCTCTGTGCCCCAGCTTTGTTCTGTGACTTCTACAACCCACACGGGGGCTGTGAGTGGCACTACCAGCCCTGCGGGGCACCCTGCCTAAAAACCTGCCGGAACCCCAGTGGGCACTGCCTGGTGGACCTGCCTGGCCTGGAAGGTGAGGGGGGGCCTTTCTTGGATGGAGCCTCCTATTCTTGGGTTCCCGAGTGTACGTGGGGGGCCGGGGTTCCCCAGGGACGTGGCGTAGGCTCCCTTAAACTGCACAATGCAAGCCTTGGGGGCAGGCCCCTGCTGGCTGGTAGGGGGCAGCTACTCCCTACAGCATGGCGCCCCTGGCTGGAGAGACCTAAGGGCCCTGGTGAGTCTTCTGCTCACTCTGCCGGCCCTAGGCTGCTACCCGAAGTGCCCACCCAGCCAGCCCTTCTTCAATGAGGACCAGATGAAGTGCGTGGCCCAGTGTGGCTGCTACGACAGGGATGGAAACTACTATGACGTTGGCGCAAGAGTCCCCACAGCGGAGAACTGCCAGAGCTGGTGAGGGGGTGGGGAGTGGGCGGCGCTGTGGGTGCAGGGCTGGGGAGCAGGCCCCTCAGGCTGCCCCCCAGGCCCTCAGCTCACCTCTCCCCCACCCCCAGTAACTGCACGCCCAGTGGCATCCAGTGCGCTCACAGCCTTGAGGGTAAGGAAGGGCCAGGGGGGTGGGGGAGTGGTGAGGGCCGGGGCCAGGGGCTCAAAGGCACCGGGTGACTCTGCCGGGTCCATCCCCAGCCTGCACCTGCACCTATGAGGACAGGATCTACGGCTACCAGGATGTCATCTACAACACCACCGATGGGCTTGGTGCCTGTTTGATCGCCATCTGTGGAAGCAACGGCACCATCATCAGGAAGGCTGTGGCGTGTCCTGGAACTCCGGCCACAACGCCATTCACCTTCACCACTAGCTGGGTCCCCCACTCCACGACAAGTAAGCCCTGCCTGGCTCTCCTGAGGCCCGGTCATGTCTGGGTGACAAGGAGGGAACCCCTGGGCTCTTGATGCAGGTGCGCTGAATGGTAGCAACAGTCCCAATCCACTGACCTGCCGAGCTCTGTCTAGGGGTGCACGGCCCCCCCAACACCCTGCGTGTCTTCAGGGGCTCCCCAGGAAGCCTCTGCACGATGATTGATGGGATAACCCAGGGGGGCAGTAAAGCTTTCCCAGACTCCGTCCCATCCCTCAGCATGGCCTATCCTAGCTGGCCGGCTCCCTCAAGGCCAGGCTGCCAGGCTCCAGTCCCTCATATAGAAACGGCTCTAACCAAGGCTAAGGCAGGCACCTGGGGTCCCCAGTATCCCACAGGGGCAGGGCCAGCCCTGGGACAAGGGTCCTCTGGGGCCCCTCCACCTTGTGAGGCCAGGACTGGAGGATGCTGAGCCAGGACCCCTCTCCCACACCCCTTGCAGGCCCGGCCCTCCCAGTCTCCACTGTGTGTGTCCGAGAGGTCTGCCGCTGGTCCAGCTGGTACAACGGGCACCACCCAGAGCCTGGTCTGGGAGGCGGAGACTTCGAGACGTTTGAAAACCTGAGGCAGAGAGGGTACCAGGTGTGCCCTGTGCCAGCCGACATCGAGTGCCGGGCAGGGCAGCTTCCCGACATGCCACTGGGAGAGCTGGGCCAGCAGGTGGACTGTGACCGCGTGAGGGGGCTGATGTGCGCCAACAGCCAGCAGAGCCCCCCGCTCTGTCACGACTATGAGCTGCGGGTTCTCTGCTGTGAATACGTGCCCTGTGGCCCCTCCCTGGCCCCAGGCACCAGCCCCCAGCCCTCCCTCAGTGCCAGCACGGAGCCTGCTGTGCCTACCCCTACCCAGACCACAGCAACCGAAAAGACCACCCTGTGGGTGATCCCGAGCATCCAGTCAACAGCGGCCCTCACCTCACAGACTGGGTCCAGCTCAGGCCCCACGACGGTCACCTCCCTGGCCCCAGGTACCACCACCTGCCAGCCCCGGTGTCAGTGGACAGAGTGGTTTGATGAGGACTACCCCAAGTCTGAACAACTTGGAGGGGACGTTGAGTCCTACGATAAGATCAGGGCTGCAGGAGGGCACTTATGTGAGCAGCCTAAGGACATAGAGTGCCAGGCCGAGAGCTTCCCCAACTGGCCCCTGGCTCAGGTGGGGCAGAAGGTGCACTGTGACGTCCGCTTCGGCCTGGTGTGCAGGAACTGGGAGCAGGAGGGCATATTCAAGATGTGCTACAACTACAGGATCCGGGTCCTGTGCTGCAGTGCCGACCACTGCGGGGGACGAGCCACGACCCCACCACCGGCCACATCGCTGGAGACAGCCACCACCACCACCACCAGCACCCAGGTCCTGTTCTCAACGCTGCAGTCAACGAGTAGCCTGGGGGTGACCAGCACCACAGCAGTCCCCACCCTCTCAAAAGGACTGACATCCCCCAGATACACGGGCACCCTTGGTACAGCCACCACAGGAGGCCCCACGGTTCCTGCAGGCTCCACAGAACCCACTGTCCCAGGGGTGGCCACATCCAGCATTCCAACACACTCAGTCCTGCCAGGGACCACGGGGAGTTCGGGCACATGGCGTCCCTCACAGCCACCCACGCCAGCCCCAACGACAATGGCAACCTCCAGAGCTCACCTGACAGGCACAACCAGCTCCAGCTCCAAACAGCCGCTGACCACGAGCCTGGCACCGACACTCTCGAGCGAACTGTTCACCTCTCAGGCCGAGACCAGCACCCCCAGGACAGAGACGACACTGAGCCGCTTGACTGAGACCACCACTAGCCAGAGCACTACCCGCTGTCAACCGAAGTGTGAGTGGACAGAG